GCGCACCCCCTAGTCGTGGCGACGCTAGGCCTGAAGGGGGGAGATGGGCCCTGGCGTGTGTTTCAGGGATGCTTCTAAATAAAATCGAGGCCGGGTGTGAATAAAAATCAGCTTCAGCCACCCAAAAATAAATATTTTTCTGTGATGCCCAAACGACAAGGGGACTCGGGGAAGGCGCAGCCCGGGCTGGCCTGCGGCCCAGCTGCTGCCCTGCCGAGGGCAATGGAAATAGGAATTACAGAGCCACCGCGCCAGCCCCAAACCTCGCAAGAGCGGTAAAAGCTGCGTTCCTGATGAGCTGCAGGGTGCTAGGTGGGCACACGGTTGCGCAGAGCAGCTCATCTCTCTTTGTAAAATCAGGAAAATCTAAAATATACAACAAAACTTAAGTCCTGGAGCTGTTCTTTACACTCAGGCAAAGAGGGTGTTGGGTGTGACGTCTCAGCACAGGGGAGTCAAGCTTGAGAAAAACTCCTGCTTTATCTTCGCAATCAGCTACTGGTCAGTGCCAGGAATCACGCTAAAAATCAAACCCAGCCCTAGAGAAACAGCTAGATGAAATTTAAGCTCTCATTTTAAAAAATCAAATCCCTCAAAAAGAGAACTGTGGCATGTTCTTCCAGAGAACTGGAATTGCACAAAGATGTTTTCTCTCCCAGTACTGGAATACCACACATTTATGTATTAGCAGTGCCTTTAACAGTGAATGTTAGTAACTTCTCACTCAAATTATTAAATGTATTCCACATCGTATCTGTCACCAATATCTTGCAGCAGGCAATTCCCTATTTATCAGAATATACAACTTAATTTTTATTAAAATATACAGGCACATTTGTTCATAGATGTCAAAACGAAGGCATTATTTCCTACATAACGCAAATAATAAGATGCAATTCTGCACACAAAGCAAAACCTCAGAAATAAGCAAAACAGCACGCGGAGTCTTCATGGGTTTCTCACGAAACGTCACAGGTGTCAGTCGGGCAGAACTAACAGTGCTCTGCTGTAACCGAATTACACAAACCCAGGATCCATTTCCAGATTGGATTATGTATGACGAAGCAAGCAAAGGGTGCAACACAGGAACACTTCCTTAAAGGATTATGGTTGCAAAGAAGCCATTCCTGCATTCCCAGAATTCTGATACGACCACAGCAGACTGGGAACACAGGGTGGAGATGAGGAGGAGGAGGGGGAAAACACATAGAGCCTGCGCTTTTTTTGTGCAACAGCCTAAGGAATAATGCCTGCAGACGGCTGCTGTCAGCACTGCACAGAGAGGCAGGTCTCTTATCAGAATCTTTTATTATCTCATTTAGGCTGTTTTGAGGCTTAAATATGAAAATGTACAAAATTACTGGAGTTTAGAGACAGTATTAGTTATTTCAAAATTATTGTATAGAAGCAAAGAAGTAGGAGGAGCAAGGTTTTACTCCTGTCACATACAAGTGGGTTCAGTTCATTTTGGTTTCTTAGAAGTGTCCAGGGAAGTCTTTGAGAGCTGCATTTATCAAACCTAAGAGTAAGCTCTCTGTGTTTTCTGCCACTGGATCTTCTGGAACTCCAGCAAACATTTTAAGAATGATCTGAACGCAGAACTGACAGTATTTCCACAGACAGACACAAAACTATTGTTCAGAAACACAAGATATTTACTGCAAGAGCACATGCTTCAGCTTCTATAAGAAGCATTCAGGCATCCTCTGATGGTATTCCAGTAGAGACTTGCTTGCATGTAAACATCCGTCCTCACTCTTAAGCAAACAGAAGAAATATTTTTCTCCCCCCTGCCCCTATCTTCATCCTTCTGTTCTTTAGTACGGACATAGATGTCAGCCCCAGCTCACGAGTAGTCTGTCGTTAATTCAGCTTTTGGAAACAGTCTGCAATTTGCTGCCAGTTTTATCTTCTTTAACTTTCTTTTTCTCCTTAATATTTTCCTTTGTAGTTTTCCTACAAGAAACACATTGGAGACCAAGACGCTTGAACACCATACATGAAGAGCAGCGACACAGACATCAGTTGTTCTATATCCCATCGGTGCGGCTGAACACAAATCCTTCAGCAGCCACACTCCAACGCGTGGGTAATGCTGTTCTTTATGACCACTTCTGCTACACGCCCGTCTGCTACGAGCTCCAGTCACTACCGCTTGAGACCTCGTGCCAGAGGAGGAGCAGACAGGGCCTGTGAAAGGACAGCTCCTCTCAAGTCTTGCTTTAAGGCTGGTGGTTTAAACTCAGCTTGCTATTACCCAATACATGGCACCACACGAGGCCAACTGGTGGCCTTAACCCACTTTCCAGTGGACAGGTATCGACACTACAACTTCATTACGCCTGTGTGGTCCATCCAAACAAGTTATTGGTTATCTTGGAAGAAGGTGGCTGGGCCTTTTCTGGCTTATCTCTTCTCAAGAGAAAAAAAAAAAACAAAAAAAACCAAAACCCAAACTACTTACATTTTTCTTTTGGCTTTTTTTAAGAAGCACTGAGGGGTGGTACAAATGGATTCTCTTCTCAATGGCTTCTTAATTAATTTCTTCTTTTGTTTGCTGAGGACGACATTTAGTGAAGAAGGATTAAATTCCTTTAAAGGGCAAAAATTAGTATTTCAAGTAAATAAAACAGATAATGAAAACCTTTATTGGTTGTTACAGATTTATGAGTCTGAACATATTTCCAGTATTTAAGGTAAGGATTCTTTTTGTTTCCATATTTGTCCAAAAACTACCACCTCCCACCTTATCTAAAATTCTTTTTGCAGCTAAACTGCAACTGTGTGGCACACAGCTAGACATTCTGTAACCCTGGCACCCCTAGCACTGCACATGTGGACTTTTAATACGCGGAAACAACCTGGTCAATTATCCAAACGTACCTTTGCAGTTTGGGCAAGTGTTTTATGTAGTCTGGCACGGGACAGCCAGCTCGCTGAATAACACTGGCTATACTGGAAAAGACAAGAGGGAAGAGATTAACTCTGGCAGCGAGTGCTCGGACAATAGACAAGCATCTTCTCTGGAAAAAAGCAATCCCTAACAATGGGGGTTTTGTGCTTTTTTTTTTTTTTTTTTTGAGGCGCGTAGTACCAGACAGAACCGTATGGTCCAGCAGTACACTACACAAAACACAAAAATCATTTTTGCTATGCCACGTTTCCAATTTACCTCCGTAATAAAGGTTTATCATCTTCTGTAAAGAAAGTGACAGCTTTTCCTGTGTGTCCTGCTCTTCCAGTACGACCTGTCAAACACAAATTTTGCAGCGAGGACAGATTTTACTATAAATACTTCCCTTCATTCTATTCCTCTTCACTGCCCCAGCATACTACCAAGCAGCCAGTCCCCAAAGATTGTTCCTATTGAGTGTAAGCATAGCTACATCTGAAACATCTAAATATTAAAGGTTCACAGAAACCTGACAGAAAAAGTAACACAGTTTTAGTAAAAGTTGAGCCCAGATATAAACTGACTTAAGCAATGTAGAAGCTGGTGCTGCAGCACCAGAGGAAGCTTGGTTTCAGGTTTTTTGCTCATGCACGAGAGCATCAACATTAAAGATCTAGGAAATGAGAAAAAGGACATCATTTGTGAACAATCACTCACCTATCCGGTGGATGTATTCCACTGCACTCGTTGGCAAATCATAATTGATGACCATATTCACTCCTTTGAAGTCGATCCCTCGAGCTAGTAAGGCTGAGCAGATGAGCACCCAAATCTTCCCAGCTCTGAAACTGCGTACTACGTTATCTCTCTACGAAAACAGAAGAAAGAAATTTGGAAACAGCCTAATTAGCAATTTGAGAAAGGAAATTAACTTGTTTCCATGAAGTTGTCATGATGTTAATTAATAAAACTAAACCTCTAAACCAAAACCTGCAGTAATTTACCCTCAAAGTTACCTGAAGTTACATTCCAAAACTCTTGCTTTTATCTTTTTTTCTATAAAGTGGTTCTTGCAAAGAAATTATAGCCTCCTACCTGTTGCTGAGTTTTGTCTGCATGGATAACATCCACATTGATGCCTTCATAAATAAGTTCATGGAAAAGCTCTTTAGCTCTCTCAATAGACTGTACAAAAACAAGGACCGGAGGAGCAAAACCCTGCAAAAGAACAAGCTTGTCTAAGGTTCAAGTCCTTCTCCTACCATTGCTGGTTGCATACACTGAGCTACTCAAGAGACTTAACCAACTTCAGTATTTTACTTCTCAGAGGACCTTTTTTTTGTGACTAGTCAAGTCTTTGGAGGTCAGAACTAAGAAAGTTCAGCTCTGTTGCCTTTGATGGAACAGTTCCTAACTTAGGCATCAGGCTGCACTTTAGTCCATGGAAATGAGATTTATTTTTTTTTCCCCACCCAGTAAGCACAGCGTGCTCAATCTCGCTAACGTACCTTTTTAACAAGCTCTCGCATTGCCGTTAGCTTTCCTGTCTCAGATCCAACAAACAACAGCTCTTGCTCCACTGTCTCTGCCGCAGAGTTTCTAAAATGAGAAATCCAACAAAAGCATGCTGCTGGTTGTATTTTTTATTTTTTATATGTATTTTATATATATATATATATATATATATACATGTTTAGATAAAAGTAAGAACTTTCCCTTTAAGGTAATAATAATTCTTTTGTACAACTTTTGTGCACTAGAGATTTATTACATTCCAGGATCTTAGCGTCCCTTTTTAGCCAGTAGTTGAGAGTACTTTTTCTGAGAACATCTACTGTTATTTTGTCTCCGAAATAGAGCTCTTTCCTCTTTCATGGCATTTTTCATGCCTTTCTGTGTAGAATATATTTGAGAAAACACATCAGTGGAAGTTACTAGCTGCAGTGGACTATTTACTATTTTTTCCCTTATTCTAATTGTCTTCTTTGCTCTTTTCCAATTTTCAGGGATTTCTGAGCTTGCTCAGATAAGTCCAGGAAAAATGAAAGAATTCATGTACTTTATGTCTAGCAAAACAAAATCTTAGAATCATAGAATGCTAGGGGTTGGAAGGGACCTTGAAAGATCATCTAGTCCAATCCCCCTGCCACAGAAGGATCCCCTAGGGCAGCCACACAGGAACAACCTCTCTAGGCAGCCTGTTCCAGTGCTCTGTCACCCTCACAGTAAAGAAGTTTCTCCTCATGTTGAGGTGGAACTTCCTATGTTCTAACTTAAACTTATTATTTCTTGTTCTGTTGCTGGGCACCGCTGAAAAGAGGTTGTCTCCTTCCTCTTGATCACTACTTCTCAGATATTTATATATGTTAATAAGGTTCCCTCTCAGCCATCTCCTTTCAAGGCTAAACAGCCCCAGTTCTCTCAGTCTCTCTTCATAGGAGAGATGTTCAAGTCCTTTAATCATCCTCACAGCTCTCCGTTGGACTCTCTCCAGTAGATCCCTGTCTCAATTGAATTGGGGAGCCCAAAACTTTGCTCAAGGCTTATAACTCAGCTTTCCACTAGTGCTAAATCATCCCAAACCTTGAAAGAGGGCAGGCATTCTATAGCATTCAATCCTCTTAAAGTTTTCTGGCAGAGTAATTAGTTTCAGCTGACCATAGTTATATCCCCTTTCCTGCAAAGACACCAAAACCCTGTGTGAGCTGCTCTGCCCACAGACACCTTAACTCTCACTGTCCCGGCTGCCAGACACTGTCTCTGCCAGTGGCAAAAGCTTGTCATGACACAGTTTATATAATTTAAGTAGGGAAATTTGCAATTATTACGCGTGAGAAGTTTTGAACCAGTGGTTAGGCGACTAAAGTCCTCTCTTCATCAGACTGTGCAGTGTGGACCTTGGATGCTTTGCCACACTGCCTTTGAGACTCGACGTGACTTTGAATAGATGACTTTGGATATGGAAATGTAGCAGCATGTTACAAAGAGCAGAAATGGGTTTGCCTACCTTTGCCAGTTTTGATAGTGCATTTTGTAAAGTGACCTCTTGTGTGCGAGTAATTGGACTCAAGCTACGAATGAATCTCTACACATTAGTACACTGCAATGACGTGGCAATGACTTTCTGACACTACTAACCTCGTTCCTATTTGAATTCATGACCCAGAACTGAGAGGTTGTGTATGTCACTACCAATCCTCCCAGTCATTCAGGCATAAGGCTTCATAACGCTGACCACTACCGTTCTTTTCACAGGTAGTTAAGAAATAAATTTTACGTGTTTTCTCTGTTGCTTTAAGATATCTCCCTCGCTTTTGCATATGGCATTTTAAAACTTTGTGTTAGAGAACTTTCAAAATCTAACTTTTTAGAGATCACTGATGGTTGAATTTTCTCATGGATCCCATCAGAAAAGGAGTTTCTGGACCATTACACATCCTTTCCATCGTATTTTTAAATTCAAAGTCTGTAAAGTTTCAGTGTTCATTAAAAAGTCTGGAGGTTTGTGGAAAATTTGCCAGATGCCCAATGGTAAAAGCAAGGATTCTGGAAGGTTGTGTGAGACTGCTTTGCCCAGAGAGATGTGAGTAGAGAGACCCTGTGCCTACTCAAGAAATCATGCTACAGGGATGTTCTCAATCACTTCCTCTGCAGACTTTGCTTTATATAATGCTTAAATATTCAGCAAGCCAAGCCTCAAATTTGATACTGTTTTAAGTGAATGATCAAACCACAGCTATAAGAAGTCTTGTAGGTTTTTTAAACCAATTATTTTTCATTTCTGAATTACAAAATAGAGAAAATACTTTACCCACCAACAGTGAGTAAAGCTTTTGGAGAATGGGGCTGTCATACAGGGTAAAATTCCTCATGTAGAAAATCTTTTTGATCCCAGCTCTCCAACAGTTGGTTCAACTGCACTAATCACTGAAGCTGGAATTCAGAGGGGGCACCTGCACCTAGTTCCCTGCCTTTTTGGAAGAAAAGCCTTACTTATCCTCTCCCTTTTTCAGGTTTTGAAAGACAGACGTGTTTCACTTAAGATGATGGCTCAGTATGTATTCCTGGAGGATGTAGTCCTCTTTGCAAGCATGGATCTGGATTCAGTGAGGGACTAGGAATTCAGTCCTACAGCACTACTTTTGGCTTTTTTCCCACCAATTGGCTTACGCTGACCTTCCCCAGAGGGCAGACTCCATTTTTAGGTGTCTAATTCTCCCGTCATTATTTGGCACAGCCTGTGTGCAAATCGTTATGCCTAATAATTAGATACTGCAGTGCTCAGGGTTGTGACACAAGACTTTCTGAATCATTAATATTATGCCTCTGCTGTAATTCTTTCCCCTTCCTAAGGCTGTGTGTCATGCTCAGCGAAATGCTGTGGTATGTCAGACATCAGCGTGGAAGCATTGTAAAAGTTCCCTTTTCAGTCATGATTTCTGTTTTGCAAGTAAGAGTTCCTTCTGCTATTCTACCAAGTAGTGAATTCCCCAAACCAGTGATTCCTGAACATTTTGAACCACACACCAGCTTTCTGTGAATTACTGCGAACCTTTAGAATAACGCTGTTAATTGAAAACACTATAAAAGCGATATACTGCAGATCATTTATCCTGGCCTTGCAGGCTGTGTTTTTGGACCTCTGGAGGTAAAAAATACCTAAGCAAGTAAAGCTCCTCCTGACCAGCACTCTGACCATAGCTGAAAGATTATATCCTGAGTCACTCTCTCCAGCTTGACCTCAAGGTCCATAACAGTATAAAAAAACCCCAGTCTCTGCCTGTCTCCATTTCAGGTATACTTATATCCAATATATTTATCTTCCTGTTCCTCAAAATCAGTCAGGAACTCTAACCAGTATCTGACAACTCACACGCTTAATTTTGCCTATGCCATCACTGAAAATTTTGTCCTTGGATTTAAATTTCTGCTCAATCTTCTGGTTCAAACTGTGTTTCTTTTATCTCTACAACAACAGGCACAATTTAACGAGGACTGCCAAACCCTCTCCTTTTTATGCATTTTCAATTAGTTTTGCTGCTCAGTAAATATAAATCTTTTTTTAGGGGCCTTTTTACAGCAAGTCTTCTGTCCTTTTCTGCAGTCAGGTTTGTTGTTTTCAGTGTGTTGAACAGTGATTTCCATATTTTTCTTCTTGACCATTATAGGTACTTTCTGGTTTGTGCCCCCATTATAACTGCACAGCTTTTGAGGATGCAGCAGTCATCCAGAGAGAAGCTAGTCAATACTGCAAACCTGGCACAAAAAAGATTATAAAGCTCAGAGTATTGCTTCTCCATGAAGTGGGCTGAGGCTGTGTGACAATTGCCCCCTAGGTCCCCACTGATTTTCATTTCTGCACAGAAGTTGTTTGTCTATGGAACGGGTAAAGAAATGACCTGCTGGCCTTGAGCTGCTACATAGTAGAAGAGGCTGCAGGTCAGTTCTGCACCCACTTAATCTCCAGAAGTTACTTCTGCTCTCCTGTTAGAGGTGGGAGTTAGTGTCTCATTATTGCAGGGACTTTTAAACCGATTTTTAGCCCAGAAATTTAACACACTGGGTCATTGTAGTCTGAAAATCAGAGATGTTAATTTTTTTCAAGAGTAATTTTTTCAAAAGTAATTTCTTTAAGTGAAGTGTAACTTCTGATTGGGATTGAATTCTGGCCTCTCCACTTGCAGCAGTAGTTTTGCTTGTTGCAGTAAGGGTTTCTTTTATAAATATCTGCTTTCAGCTGTAAGTATCTGATGTTCACAATCTGGTTCACAGCCTATATCTGATTGCAGAGGAGATGCCACCAATGCTGGTGTTAATTCAATTTCTTGTGATGATAAGGCACATTACTTAATGAGGTAATTTGCATAATTCCTGTTAATTTATCTTTTGCGAGAGACCTCCCTATTTTCTTCCATGCCTTTTCAGAATATGCTCTGCTCTCACACTTGTACTGGTCCCTTGCACTCCATCTGCTACCACACTAGATGTTCTCCTTGATGCCGTGCCTCTCTTTTCAGGACCTTGCTTTCTGCCATGGAAGAGGTTCCTTACAGCCAGCTGGGAAGAAGGGGAGGATGTAAGTAGGGCATGAACTTACTCCACTAGCACAGCCAAAATACACAGCAGTAGGACAAACCATTCTCATCTCCCTCATTTCCATACACAGGACTCCTTCTAGCACTACAAAAACTGAACTAATAATTTTCATAGAAAGTATAAAAATATTTCAAGCATCTGAGACTCAGTAATCACATGGCCTTATTACTGGGATTCCTGTCGCTGGCTTTTCCTCTGGTGCATTTTAGGTCATCCTTCACTGTGCTGGTAAACTTAAGTCTGTGAGATCTCAGAGCTACTTGTGCTGGAGAGCAAAGATCCATTCTGAGTGTTAGACAGCTAAAAAGCCATTAAACTGTTTTTTATCTCTTTCAATGTAGGGCAAATTTTTGGTTGTAAATATTAGGAGAGTTTTCCAGTTTTTCTTTTTACTCAGAACTGTACCATTACAAGCTTATATGTCAGAGAGCAATTCAAGCCCTCCCTCCAGGCCTTTCTTTCTTTAATGTGCTCATCAGTATTAACCGCTAAATGCATTTGCC